TATGAATTAGAATAGGCTGAGATAAAGTTGAAATAGTTCTTATTCCAGAAATTATTAAATACAGCTGATGGAATATTTACACCCTCCTACTTTCCAACCCCAAGTTCATTTTGCTGGGCTCTTGAGCAAAGAGCAGCTTATGGAGAAGTTGGGAGTTGCTGCGTGGAGGAACAGGCAAAAATAAAGGCAAGGGAGAGAAAGGCAAATGCAGCACTAGCCCAGAGGCAGCACTAGTGAGCGGGTAGTAGATGCTCACGTCAGTGTCATTCGTACCTAAATTTAAAGCCTCCAAAACTCCTGAAATGAAATCTATTATTAAGCAAGATGAATGCAGCCAATTTTTTTCTTTGAAAAAGGTATTTTATCCACTCCGAGTGAGCCTGGCATCCTTTGGCTGTAGCTGTCGCAAACGGGGATAAGCATCAACGTCAGTGCAACTACGAAACGTGAAAGGGAGTCAGTCCCTTCACCCAGCACTGCCAGTCCCCACTGCTGACCCCAGTCCAGCAGAGAGCACGGCCTCAGGCAGCTCAGTGGAAGGGGGTGAATGGCAGACTGACCTCAGCACTCGTCCCTCTGTAAGAATACGCTCCTGTTAAGACTGTTCACATCCAGCATCTCCCTGTTGCGGACACCTGCACTGCAAAGTTGAAAAAAAACAGCTAGTTTTCATTCCATGCACTTAAAAATGATGTGGTCACCTCCCTGCAAGGACTAGGCAGGAGTTAGTAAGCATCCAGGATTCCTGCTTGAGAAACTCTGGAGATGACAAATAAAACTAGCAAGAGTCCTATTTATAGGCATGAAAAAATAATTAATTTGTCCCCTTTTAATTGAAAATGTAAAAAGGACTTCAGCTTTAAATAAGACATTTTGTACAAAGCTTGAGCACAAAAAAGTGAACACCAACGTGTCATTATGTAAACACCACAACTGTTACTCATTTGTTCAGTAACGCACAGAACAGCGTGCAAGTTCCCTTTCCAGTGGATTAGATTTCTGTAGCTGTTCCCCTCCCTCCCCTCAGACCTTACTGGAACACAGGAAACCCAGAAGCTTTGGAACATTTACAAAGCTACAGTAGTCAGGGTACATTGTGACTAAAGGAATTTTTTTTTTTCTTTAAAACACAGGAAACCCAGAAGCTTTGGAACATTTACAAAGCTACAGTAGTCAGGGTACATTGTGACTAAAGGAATTTTTTTTTTTTCTTTAAGGGATTGGTCATTTAAATATACAGAAGTACAATAATCTCACAGGTAAATGAATGGCAGCTAAGATTAGAAAAAGCACCAAAATATTTAATATACATCTGGCACAAATTCCACAAGAACTCAGTAATGGACAAACCAATGCTTTGCTTATAAGAAAAGAAAAACCTCAGACTGCACTTAATGCTCTTCTTCCAAAAGGGACACGACAAAAACATTGCACTCAGGATTGCTATCAAGTAAAGACAACCTTCTTATTACAACCTATTTGCGTTGTGCCTTAGATTGCACATTCCATAAGATGCTGTTTCCATTCTGTTCCAGACAACAACAGTGAGCAAAATTTGATACAAGAAAAGTAATTGTAAAACTACAAACCAAATGGGACTCAGTAGATGCATCATCTTGAACTTCTCCCACTTTTCCTCTAGATCACGGTTTCAAATTTGGCCACATCCCTTTAAAAAAGATCCTACATGAAACAGAACTTACTCCAGCCATTTTCAAGCATTACATTTACACAGCACTTCTGATACTGCTGTCTGAAAGAGGAAGCACAGGTCTGCGCCACGACACACAATACATTCATCGTTTCCCAGAGCGAGAAAATTGGATCATACGTGGTTACCTCCTGGGTAAGTCTGAAAAGGCAAAAACCAATCCTGACACAAAGAATGGCAGATTTGATCCTATCCACCGTTGCTGGTTTACTGAGGAATTGAGAGATTGATCAGGTAGTTGTATCCACACACGATTCAACGAAAGCCGCAGGAAGGTGTGCTCTCATTATTTCCTTAGTTAGAATTAGTTACTTCTCTGGGAGCAAACACACTACCAAAATGCATTCCTTCCATAACTGGTGACTTGAGGCTAAATCGGGGCCGAGATCCACAAGCAAGTGCTCCAAGAAATCCAGCTGCGCCAACTAGCTCTCCCAGGCTGACCCTTCTCCTCCATGCAGCCTGTCAAGGACTTGCGGTTGCTTCATGCCCTCAAGACCAGCCAGTACAAACCCCAGTAGCGTTGGGTCAGGGCCTAATCCTGCCAGTTGCATCCATGTCTCTTGGAACCCGAGTTACTCAACAACTAACAGCACGAGGCCCTCCAACCACTCCTGCCAGCCCATCTCCTTTTTTAAAGACTTTTAAACTTACAGATAAGAAAGCAAGCATATTTTTAAGATAACTATGTTTAGCGTGACTTAAAAAGTCACAACTTCAAAATATTAAGCACTATTCTGTGAAGTCCTTTAACATTTAATACATATGGGAGTATAAAAACAGCAGCCAGCCTTCAGCTCCACTGATCCTCTGTGCGGGTTTGCCACCTCTGGTCACACGATCTCCCCTCTCATGGGCCCAGAGAAGAGCAAGAGTCAGCAGTTGTAACTGCATAAAATGGTAACATTCAAGTAAACACACTGATTCAACAGTAGGCAACCTTTAGTCCAAACATAATTTACATGGGAAAAAAACCCGAAATTTTACAGCAAGAACATTGGAGACAGATGCTTTTTTTCTGTCTGCGTGTGAAATGACATGTTATCCAGAAAGGGCTTATCTGAAGAGTGCAATTACGCAAAGATAGAAGCTTTTTAAAAATAAAATAAACTTGTATAACCTCCAGAACCTGTTGGATTTTAAAACCTAACTACAGAAAGACTGGGGATTGCAATAGTAGCGAGGAACTGCTGTAATTTCAGTGATTTAAGGCAAGCTGTTAGCAGGACTCGTACGTTCATACTCCTTTTACTTATCCCCCCTCTTGAAATACGTGCCCAAACAGATAGTGCAGGAGGTCACACCCCAAAAGCAGCCCTCAAGCTGGAAGAAGAATCTTGTAGCGACAGTTGCTACAGCATAGCATCTATTCGGGATTTGCAACGACAGCAATTGTGTTGTAGTTTTCTTTGGGGGAGGAAAGCAAGGGAGACAGATGTGCTGCATGAAAGAGACACCACCTAAATGCGTTAAGGAATACAACTGAGCACTGAAGCCACTCTGACATCTCCAATACGCTCGAGAACTCTCCAGCTTTGCTCAAGCGTAAGGGTTTTATCCTGAGCAAGATTCTGACCTCAGGGAGGAAACGGATGCGTGTAGCCCTTACACTTTTGCAGGTCCCATCTTTGCTAGATGTTACAGGTCCAGCCCAAGGGAACAAAACGCAGTATTTTTCATCAAAAGAAAAATACAGTCATGGCACTGCATCAGGTGGGTTCCTAAAGTTTTTCAAGGGCAAACGAAAAGGCTGATGGCTCCCTCTTGGGGAGCAGCTGCTCCATCCTCAATTTATTGTCAGTACAGGTATCCCGACCAGGGAAGAGCGTGTGTGATGATGATAAAAGGCCCTGAGCCACATGTGACGTAGCTCGAGTTCGTCACTCTATTGCACTCCAAAACTAGCACCCAGGAGGACCGCCACTTTTGTTTGCAGCTTGACTTGACTCCCTTTCAAAGGGTCGATTGCATGCAGATTAAAAGCAGTATACCAAAAAGTATGGCAAATAGATAATACTTAACTTGGGTTAATTAAAAAAAATAGATTACTCATCCAGGCATAACATTCTGGGAGCAAAGGATGGTAACCTTAAACTATTCAAGTCTAAGAACAAGAGGTAGAGATACCTATGTACTTCATGGTGAAGGAGTTACAGCCTTCTGTCTTACAATCTCATGTATTTCACTTCAGTTGGCAATATAAAACCAAAGATTCAATCTTCAATAGTCCAGAGAGAAAATTTTAACACTGGTGGTTTTGTTTGCACACAACAAAATTTAAGCAGACACTTAGCTTTCAAAACTTATTTGAAAAAATATTTATGTTTTGCTGTATATTGAAACACTACCCTGAAGAATTTAGAGTTTCAGGTTAAGCATCTTCCTTTTTAATACGAAAGGCTAAATTCACATGCATACGTTTCGAGCAGAGTGAGCTCAAGGGAAGAACCGGGTGCCCAATTTACCGAGGATCTTCTAAAAAAGGATCGCACTGCAGAACACAAGGCTGCAAGACCCAGAAAATCACAATGACTATCATTTTCCGATGAATGGGAATGATGTAACCTCAGCCAACAAATCACATCACGACTGACGTGGCTATTAACTACATGGTGTTTCTTTAACTTTTGCTGGGTTTTTTTGGGAAACAAGGCTTAGAACTGTACGGAAGATATTTATGTTGACAGCATCAGGAAAATACTAAGGTCGCTAGTCAGTGCATGGCCATGTCTGGGAACCACAGGTGACAGGCTAGTACCTGTCCTGGGATCCATGGGTTCTTCAGGCTCAGACGGACATGCAAGGAGTGAAATAAAAGCCACACAGGCAAAGCTGCTGCTGCCCCCAGCACTCTGAACCCCCCACCTGACAGCCACCCTGCCCTCAGGAAGAGGGGCCGCATCTATTTGCGACCAGCCCCGAGTCACTCACTCGTCAGCAGAGCAGGGTGAACTCATTTCATGCTCTTAAACGTGCTTGGCTGAAGAGCTATAGTGGTTCGGAGGCTGATTCACGAGCAGATCTGCTGTGCCAGCCTGGGGAAGCCAGCGCTCGCCCTGGGGCAGACCGAACTGCCACAGGCTTCAGCTATCGGATTTTATGCCACCTGCCACACCTTCATTTATTATTCCTGTGGTTCTTTCATTACAATTGCACAGTATTAAAAAGCTATAATTCTCCATATAGAATAGCACCAGCAGCAAGTGAACTCACAATTCAGCGTTCAATTTCAATTAATTTCCTCGGTCACAATTCAGCGTTCAATTTCAATTAATTTCCTTCGTGTTTTATGGCCAACTATGGGCGGAACCTTTCAAATCCTTAGTTGAATCAATAAATAGTCTTTGACCTCAGAAACGCACCCACACAAGTAAAAATAAGCACAACTGAGCCTCCAGTTGATCTGGGAGCCAAATTTTAAAGGTGCTGCAAACTATAATATGGTGCAGGTGGTCAGTGTTTTATTTCTCAGGAGTAAAGTTTACAGGAGTTATATTTCTTTGCGTATAAGGGAAGGCAATAAAATGCCACAGAGTGTGGATGTCAGACCAGTTTTTCAGTATGTTACTAAAACTATCTATATAGTTATCCATAGTTATTTATCCCAAGTTGCAGCAGATTCACTACATGCATCAAGTTTTCTAATGCATACTCTAATTAAAAAAAATTAAATAGTTGCAATGGTTTCAAGGATTCCAGCAGCACTGCTGCTCACTACAGTCCTGTGCCCTACACAATAAAGATTTAAATTATATAAAAATGAAGAGTGAATGTATTTGGCCTGTTCCACAGATATTCACAGTTTAACCATTAAACAAGCATATTTTCAGAGGCTCCAATATTGTTAAAGACTTCTCAGAAACATGTACAAAACCCCACTCTCACACAGGTACACCAGCGTTACAGAGTACGGTCTATTCTCGTTTAGGATCACAAAAATCACCAGGCAATCCAAGCGAAGGTCTGATGTCCTCTCTCACTTTCAGCAAAGAGTTGCACCTTCAGCTCCTGGTTCAGGAGTTTAAAACTGATACAGGTCTGGCCTGCATTCTGTAAATGGTAATTAAAAAACTGAAGTTAGGCTAAAAATAAATGGTACTTTGCTGGATAGATCATTTGGCTATTTCTGCAAGTATTCTACCCGACAGGTGGAGTTGCTCCTGCCAGGCTGAAAGCAGCAGAACAAGAGCAAGGCTGTCCTCTCGTACTGAAAGCACAGGACTTAAGCCACGGAGAATTGCATGTCCTTTCCCCAAGAGGAAATAAGATTTTTCCCTTAGTGTATATTCATCACCTCCGTCTTTAAAAAGAAGCTGTAATACATTTGATGCACTGAAATGGGCTAAGCCTTGATGTGCTACAAATTTATTTCCTTACTGCAATCCACATTCAGACCACAAGATAAACACCTTCCTTAAAGAGCTCTATCCCTCACCCTTTGGAGCTGCTGCAGTTTGGTGTATAAATCAGTAGCAGCCACTGCCACGACTTCATGTGCATGTGCATGCACTGGCTATCCACTTGAATGGTTACGTTTTCACACTCTGGACATTTTAAATTCCCTTTAGGAAAAAAGAATGAAGTGAGGAACAAATAGTTTGATAGCTGAACGAATGAGTAGTCTCAAACTCATAAATACAGTCTTCACATTTACTATCAAATCGGGTCTCCATTTGGAACTTTTGCTAACAAAGTAGCCTCTGTTGGGGAATTTTTTTTCCTCTTTTAAAATAACAGCACCAGCAAAAGTCTCATCATAAATTCAGTTATACCAGCACAAGTGCTTTGGTCACCAAATCAGAGTAAGGTTTTGCTGCCAAACAGTGCTTGTGCCATGGTAACTTGGAAGGTTATAGTAGCAAGGCCAAAGCTTTGGGTATATTTCCCTATAATACAGCAAGTTCAGGGCTCCCCTCCTGCAAAGGGACAGACTCAGCTGCATCTGGAACAACTACATTTGTTTTCCACAGCTTAACACGTCTCCCAGTAAGAGTCTGCAGAAGCAGCATGGACCAAACTCTCCTTTTATTAGATGAAAGAGATGCTATCTGTGGCTTGTGGGTTTGTTTTTAAGCAGTTTTCAATACCCACATTTTGTTAGTGATTTACGATCTCAGACCCAAGCTATTGCATAGGCTGCACACCAGCAAAGCCAGTGACAGAATTCGGGCAGATCCTCCTCCCCTCTCTGCTAACCCCTGTGGGGCACAGCAGATGTGCAAAGCATGCCATCCTGGATCCAGTGACAAGCTCGCCACTTAAAATCTGTTTCCCTTTAGCTTTAAAACCCTTATATCATAAAAGCCATTAGATGCTATGGGTGACTGTCCAGGTTTTTTTTGTTTTGGTTTGTTTTTTTAATTGAAGCCGTTTTACGATCCTGAAATGCAGCTCTGAAAATAAAAGGTGTGTAATGGAAGTGTATCAAATTCATTAAGCCAGTACTGAGCTCTATAGAAAGCCTTGGCAATCATCCCTTTTACCAAAAGGTGTAAAAAAGTTGACATACTAAAATTAAAAAAGGTAGCATCAATAACCAAAAAAGTTTCAACCAGTGTTAATAAAACTCCCTTTAAGTCACAACAGTTTCAACAGGCAAATAGTCCCAATACAGGCATTGTAAAATAATAAATTGACTCCTATCCAAATATTATCAAATCAGTCTAAAAATGACTCATCTACACTGTTGTCATTAAGAACACATTAAGAATTCACTTTGTCATCAGATGCCGATATTGTTGCTCCAGAAAGAGCGGAGTATTAACTGCGATTTAGCAATTAAACACAGGTTTTAAAAAATTGGTTCGTCAATATTAATGCAAAAGATAGTTTCTTACATAGAAGTACTGTGCTTGCCAGACAAGTAAGATAATACTTTAGGTATAAATCAAACAAATTAAAGCAGAATTATACCACAGTTTTCCTTGAAGACTTAGGGTTTGTGTGCTGCTTCTGTCAATGCTTAGCAAACTTAAGAAGCAGAACCTTTGGTTCTTTTAGTCAAGTAAAAATATTCTCATGTAACCACAAAAATACAACTTCCAGAGAAAATGGAAGTCCATCAAGAAGTCCACTTCCAATAAAACTGAGGTAGTACTGCTCTTTTATTACATGATGTGTAAGAGATTTAGATATAAATCATCATCTACCACTCAGTTGACTGACAGGTACAGTAATTTTATAAAACAATCCCGACATTTAGTTTGAAACTCCAAAAAAAGGAATGATCTGGACTCATTCACTCTTAGTGAGTCAGCTTAAAATGGGAATTAGCCATATTACAAAAAGCTGTTGCTTATGTTGTTTTTTAGAGCCTTATTACTGGGGGATTAATGCATTTATAGTTAACAGTTAACACTGCTGTTCATCTTGGTATAAAACCTTAAAGTTATTACAGCCTAAAATTTCAACAATGTAAACAGCACTACACACAGTACAGACCTGCCCTGACAGATGTAGTATGAAAAACTTAATCTGGCACTGTATAATTTAGCAATGTTAATTTAACCTAACTAAAAAGATCTACATTGTGCAAGAAATATCAGACTTACTTATACTAATCTGAAGTCTTAAAAAAAAAACAAACCAAAAATGCTTAACTTGTAGCCAGGGTCAAATATTTCAGGGCAAGAGTAAAAGGAATAACCAAAATTAAGAAAGTGCCTAAAACATGATACAGCATTTTAGAGCCCTTTCAAAGACAAGGCAGAAAAAGGTGTAAAGTAGAAAAATCTGGAGCCTCGGTAATTTCCAGAAACATCCAGAGTTTACATTTCATGAAGGGCAACAAGTTGCTTTCGTCACTGCTGCTTCGACGCCGCTAAGTCTGTTCCTCCGCACACAGGCCCTCTGTGTCCGAAGACATAATACATTTGGTTTCCTCTTCCTTTTTCCTTCGCTCCATTTCCCACTCCACAAAGGTATCGAAGAGACTCGGCCAGGCCTCGTCCTCGCTGTAGTTGCTAAGGTCCGGTCCAATCACCTGAGTAAAATTTAGAAACATGTTCCACGTGTCCCGGGAGATTCCCTTGATTCCTGAGGGGTTCTCGATTAGGAAGTGTAACCACTGGTCCAAAATGGGGGGCTTGTTTTGGGTGAAGACTAATTTCCAAAGGGCAATGGCTATTTCCCGATGTAGCGACCTCTGTCCTTCTTCAGAGTCCAGGCCGAACTGGAAGGTGAAACGATAGAGATCCTTGAATTTATCTTCCTGCTTGGCTTCATTTAAGAGGCTGGGGAACCTTGCACAAATGCCGTCAATGCTGTCCGCGTTTATTGCTTTGCAGCCTTCAAAAAACTCCTTCCTATTAAGCAAGAGAAGATAAATTAGTGCAAGCGCTTCCCACCGACCTCACGCGCTGAACGCTTCCCATCTCCGTTCAGCTAGGTCAAATCGGAAGAGGGTCATCTGGACAAGACAAGGCGTGCTCTCAGCCCAGGCAGCACAAAAATCTTGGCAATGGGAGCTATTGGAAAGGGAGACATTTCCAAGAAATTTCTCATGGCTTGGGGAACCACAGACACCACTCAGATCTGCTGGGGCACTGCTAGCATTCGAAAGAGATTTTGCTGTCTGGCTTTCTGACCACTCAATAATACCACATCCAGTGCCTTCCACAATAAAAAGTGAGTAAAATTTACCACAGAAGAAACGCCAAATGTTTTAAAACGCCACATTTACGCACTGAAGTGCCATATATAAACCAGCTTGATTCAATATTGCCCATGCCTAAACATCCATGCTCTGGGCGAGCTGTTCTCAAGGGACAGAGCAATTCACTGGTAGCTTTCCTGTGGTTTTTGGTTGCTCTTCCAGCCTGCGAAATAAAAAGGGTGCCAATAGCGACAGTCAGCAAGGCACCTGTCGAGAGAGTGGAAGAGAGCACAGCATCACACAACGCAGGCTACAATGCAACGTATAAACACAGCTCGAAGCACCAGTCCTACACTAATCAGCCCACTAATAATCTGGCCAGGTGGGTAGATGGTTAGCTCTGATTTCTCTCACGCTCATGAGCAAGTGTTATAACCACCCAATATTAACCAAAGCCAGCAGACTCTGATGTGGCACGGGCTGGAGGGAAGACAGGAGACGGGGCAGCGCTCAGGAGAACAGAAGACCGCATTGCTTTCCTTGATGGAAGAAGTCAATCAGCACCTGTATCATGGAGCGTGCCGTTAAACAAAGGTAACCTCTCACCACTAGATTTGCCCTCTCTCCAAGAAAATCAAAACAATGTTAATAAAACTCATGGTGGTTGTGCAGAATCACAGACACTACTTGCAATTCCTTTACCATGTTAGCAAATACCTGCGCTGTCAGCCTCTAGTAAATCCACATTTGCATTCCAGAGTAACTCATCCGTTTGACACACATTCACATCCACAAAGACTCTGAAGATGCTGGAAAAGCTATCTGTGTTCAGTGCACAGCAGAGGCTTGGTTCAAGGCTCAGAACACCAAAGTAATTTTGGAAGTTATAAGCTGAGTAAAAATAGGTAGCGTTACTCAAACCAATCTAGATAGACCAAAAAATAAAAAATTCATTCTCTCTCAGCAAGTCCCTGTAGGAAGTTTTTACTTGCTCTTACCTGGACATTGTTAATCAAGTTGGGGGGAGCTGTTGTAGTTTTGGGTTTGGGGTTTGTTTTTGTGGTTTGTTTTTTTTCTGGTCAGTTTTAGCCATTCTGTCATTTCCTGTAGCATCACACATGCTATAAGCCTGCTGACTGACCCCCTTGTCCAGAAGGACAGACAGCACTTTAAATACCAATCACTTGTCAGCCAGCATGAAACAGCTACCAGTGTCAAAAACCTTGTGTTTCCTTCCCTCTCTATGCTTTAACAGGATTACTGTTGGAAAAAGACATTCAGTGTAACACTGGTTGGGCAGGAACAATTCTTAGGAAGCAGTCTGTCATTCTTTCACAGAACGATAACAGAGTTGGTAGCAATTACTAAGGAATCTCACATTACTTTAAAGAGAAAATTAATTTCAGTGTCTAATCTCATCACCAAGATAATGCTGGATACAGTAAAACTGCTTTTGGTAAATCAAGAATAAATGAATGTCTACAGAATCTCACTACACTGTTCATCATTAGCAGCATAATGTCCAAAACCACATTTTCGGTTCTGAAACCCACTGTGAGGGGAAGGGGAAAAGAGGACAATACAAAGCTTACCTTCTGCAGTGGTAGGAATTAATTTCATCAAAATGCAAGTGTTAGAAGAAATAAGTAAGTGAAGCTAATGAGGCTGTCTCTCCAACATACAGATGACAGGATATACTTTAACATATGAAAATAATTACAAGTTCTACAAGAACTAACCTTGTAAATTTGCACATGGTAGCAGCCTGGAATTTCCAAGCCAAAACTAGCACTTTAAATTCAGTGGGATCAACACAGAGGTCATTGCAAAATCGTTCCATTCCTTCTTCCAGTATGGCATCTTCCCGTTCATCCTTATACCTCCTAAATAACTCCCCGATCCTTTGGAGCGAAGATTCTTCTGCGCTCGAAACAGAGTCTTTCTTTGTATCTCCAGAAAATGTTGGAGGCTGACTGGACTCTACAGCAGCATCCGTTTTCTTTGTCCCATTCACAAGTATATCTCCTGAAGACTTCCCGCAAGCTGAACCATGGTCGTCTTTATGGACTGCACTTCTCTTACTATGCGACTTGCTGCCAGATTCCCTTTCCCCATTTTTGCTGCCAAGCGTAGAAGAAGGATTCTTGCACTTCGTGACACACTGGCCCATGATGTTGCAAGCCCAGCTTCTAGAGCAGTCCCCTTGCCGTCGGACACCCTCGCAGCTGCTCTTCAACACATCTCACCATGCCATTAGCGGCAGCCAACCAACCTGAAAAACAGTTTCAGAGTCAAATTGCTGTTTCTCCACAAAGAATATTGTAAGTATTAAATGTGGGATAACATTTGCCAGTAAGAGACCGACTTCAGGATATTTAAGTTTTGCGTACTGAAAAGGAGTAGTGTACAGAAGGTTGGCATATGCCATAAATTTCAGGCAACTTCAGGCTGTTTTACCTAGAAATCAATGCAGCTCACTCAGTGGCTGCAGTATACTAACGGGTCCTAATAAAGGAAATTCCTAAAATTCTTACTGTAACATAGGTTACAAAGAGGTTGATTCATGTACAGGCTTCATCAAGACAGACTACTCTAACCCAGAAATATTTTAAAGGAAATGGTTTTTAAAAGTATACCCACATTTTATATATAGAATATAAAAC